CAGTTTATTAATCCGATCAAATTGAATATAATCAATGATTTGTAGTGCAGAAACGGGTCTTATGGTCATTAGATGAGTTACAGTGCATTCAAGAGAATGGATGCTCTATTAGGTAATGTAATTAGAAAACAAAGTTTGATAGGGTCACAGGTTATACATTTATGAAATACAGTTATTCAGTATTTATTTAGTTGTGGGTGAGTAAGTGGTTTTTAAGAAGAGTCTTGAATTGATAAACAGGCAGTGTTTCTTTTGTATTCACAGGTAATGAATTCCAGATTTTTGGACCTTTTATGTGCATAGAGTTTTTACATAGTGTGAGATGGACATGGGGAACATCAAAGAGTGATCTGTGCCTTGTGTTATGGTCATATGTTCTGTTGAGGTTGGTAAGCAGAAGTTTGAGGGGAGGGTTTATATCTGAGTTGAGTGTTCTATGTATGTAGTAGGCACAATAATAAGTGTGGATGTTTTGTACGGTGAGTAAGTTTAGAGTTTTGAATATTGGTGGAGTATGCTGCCTGGAGTGGGAATTTGTTATTCTGACTGCAGCCTTTTGTTGGGTAATTAATGGTCTGAGATGATTGATTGTTGTTGAGCCCCATGCACAGATTCCATAGGTGAGATAGGGTTAAATGAGTGAGTTAATATAGGGCCAGGAGAGCTGATTGCAGAGCATAGTATGTACCATATCTTTGATAGTATGCCTACAGTCTTGGAGATTTTCTTGGAAATTTGTTGTTCATGTGTTTGAAATTTGAGTCTATTATCAAGGTGGATTCCTAAGAATTTTCCCTCTGTGAGCTTTGTGATAGGTGATCCGTTTATCATTATGTTAAGAGGAACATCTGTAGTTCTGTTCCCAAACTGAATGAAGTAGGTTTTGTCAATATTGAGAATAAGCTTTTTAATCATCATCCAGGTAGATATTTTCTGTAATTCAATATTTACAGTATTGCCTAGAATGACTGGATTTGGGTAAGAAAAGACGTATGTAGTGTCATCTGCAAATAGTATGGGTTTGAGTAGTTGCGATGCATTTGATAGGTCATTTATGTAAATGAGAAAGAGAAGAGGGCCAAGGACACTTCCCCTTGGGACACCAACTGTAATTGGTTGTGTGAAGAGTTTGCTCCATTTGTGTACACATATTGGCTTCTGTTGTTAAGGTATGACTTTAGGTAGTTGAGTGAGTGCCCTCTTATACCATAGTGTGACAATTTTATGTGCAACAAATCATGGTCAACTGTATCAAAAGCTTTATGTAAATCAATGAAGATTCCCGATGGGACTTTTTTTTCTCGAGTGCAGTGTATATTTGTTCTAGCATGTGTATAATAGCATCATTTGTATTTTTATTAGGCCTGAACCCAAACTGACAGGGGTTGAGTATGTTGTGGGAGATGAGGTAGGAATAGATTCGCTTATGAATTAATTTTTCAAAAATTTTAGAGAGAAGGGGTAAGTTGAAGGCCTATAGTTGTTCAGGTCTGCTTGATCTCCTTCTTTATGTATCGGGGTGACCCCTCGCTATATTGAGAACTGTGGGGATGGTTGAGGATTCGATGGATTTGTTAAAGAGTGTTGCAATGATTGGTGACAGTACTTGTGAAGCTTTTTGTATATACAGGGTGGTAAGTTATTTAAATCTCCTGCCTTGTTCTTTAGTGTGTTGATAATAAGTGAGACTTCTGTTGGGTTGGTCGGAGCTAGGAATAGTGTGTTCGGGTAGGTGCCAGCGAGGTAGTCATTAGGTGGGATATTTGTGCTTGGGATTTTACCTGCCAGGTTTTTTCCTATGGTGGAGAAGAAAACATTGAGTCTGTTTGTTGTTTCAGTTGGTGGGAGTTGGGGTTCATCTGGTTTTGTTAGTTTGATTGTTCTGTTCTGTTTCCTGATATCTTTTTTGTTCCTAGAATTTCAGATAGGGCTTTCCAGGTATTTTTTATATCATGTTTTAAGTTAAATAATCTGTTCTCATAATACAATTTTTTTTGCCCTACTTATCAGGCTATCCAGAACAAAACCTGGAGGCAGTCCAATCACTAAAGCAACCTTTCCTCTGTTCACTAGTCATGTCCCCAGGCTTCTCCTGTATAACTCTTACCCCTCCATTTTGAACACATCGTCATACACAAAAATTTAACGCTTTTTCCTATTTCTTGGCTAATGATCCATAACCATTAATTCTTGGTCATGGTTTAGGCTGTCCCAATAATTGAAGCAGATGTAGATGTTTCAGGCACTTCTGGTCTGAAATTGGCCAAGATCTCTATTTCAGTTGTAAATCTTCTGGTTTACTTAGTGGAACCAAATTCACTATTTTAGCCCAACCAGGAGATTAGAGGTCAGCTGCTACCATGATGCACTGCATAGGGCAACATTTTTGTGGATACTAGGCACACCTGCTACCCAGACTCATTCTCTTATATCTAGGCCAAAATTTGCCACACACAACAAATTAGGTAACGAAAAGATTGGATATCAAATTGGAGGGAGAGAGTATGGAGGAGGTGAATGTATTCAGATATTTAGGAGTGGACATGTCAGCAGATGGATCTATGAATGATGAGGTGAATCATAGAATCGATGATGGGAAAAAGGTGAGTGGTGCACTGAGGAGTCTGTGGAGACAAACAACTTTGTCCATGAAAGCAAAGAGGGGAATGTGTGAGAGTATAGTTGTACCAACGCCCTGGTATGGGTGTGAGGCATGGGTGGTGAATGTTGCAACAAGGAGAAGGCTAGAGGCAGTGGAGATGTCATGTCTGAGGGCAATGTGTGGTGTGAACATAATTCAGAGAAACCGTAGTTCGGAGATTAGGAGAAGGTGTGCGGTTACTGTTACAAACACTGGTCTTATGCTATAACAACAGGAAAATAATGACTTAGCCATTGTCCACCTTTTATAATTCACTTCAGGGGAAATAAGCATTAAGTCGTTTTTCCAAGTTTTTTATCTAGTTTGAATACTAAGTCTTCTTGTACTTAGTAACTGCATTAGATATTAACTGTGTTAAACAATTAGTCTAAAAGGAAGCTCCTAGAGTGTACCAAGGTTCGATTAACAGCGACTTTTGACACTTCTTTCTGATCTTTATTTAATTTGTATACTAGGTCTCTTCGTACTTAGTAACTAGGTTAAACATTAAAATCCCATACTCACAAGGAGATTATGTGACACCTTGTGATACTTCACATACGATGAAAATTAAAAGAACATAATTGTATGTTTATGTTCTTATAAATTATTAAATAACCAAATGTCAAACAATTCATCAGTATTGACAGTCTTGTACAGAAAGCAAAACTATTTGGTTACTTTCGAGAAACAACAATCTCTTATAGGGATTACTTAAACTAGCAGTCTCTCAGACTAATGGTCAATCATCTCATGCAAGAGACTTTGAATTCTATATGAAAGCAACTATGTAACCGAGTGCTAAAGAGAGCTATGCACTCTGGGTTGAGAACCTGAACCTACTCAGAAGAGAGAGTATGAACCTACTGCTTGTGTCAATGACCAGTAACTCTCACGTCAGGTTGGTCATGTGACAAAAGCTTTGACTTCAGCCGCATAAAAAGCGGCCGGTCTTTTAGCTAGCGATTCCATCATCTTTCCCTATTACTATACATACATAAATATTAGCATTAACATGTATATAAAATTGAAGAGTAATAAATGTCAGGCATAACCCACAAAAGTTACCAAAACAATTATCCAGATGGCTGAGGAGGGGTTATTGAGACGGTTTGGACATGTAGAGAGGGTGGAATGAAACAGAATGACTCGAAAGTGTATAAATCTGTAGTGGAGGGAAGGCATGGTAGGGATTGGCCTAGGAAAGGTTGGAAGGAGGGAGTAAAGGAGGTTTTTGTGTGCGAGGGGCTTGGACTTCCAGCAAGCATGCGTGAGTGTGTTAGATAGGAGCGAATGGAGACAAATGGTTTTTAGGACTTGACGTGCTGTTGGAGTGTAAGCAAGGTAATATTTATGAAGGGAATCAAGAAAACCAGCAGGCTGGACTTGATTCCTGGAGATGGGATGTACAATACCAGCACTCTGAAGGAAGGGTGTTAGTGTTGCAGTTTTGTAACCGTAGTGTAAGCATGCCTCTGGCAAAACAGTGATGGAGTGAATGATGATGAAAGTTATTCTTTTTCGGGCCACCCTGCCTTGGTGGGAAATGGCCAATGTGTTAATAAAAAAATAATAAAAAAAATAGTTTAACTGAAGTTCAGATAGATAGCTATTATTGTCTTTATACTTAAGTACTGTATATTTAATATGTATGTACTGTACTTGCTATCTGCTTTTTGAGAAAATGCAGTGCTTCCTAGGCAAAATGCTAACTTTGTTTTGAACATTGATAGATTAAACCGTTACGTATACCGTACCACTCCAACCCTGCCTACCCTCTGATCCCAACCCACATCAGTAGGGTTGCAAATTCATTACTTTATATATTATGGTTTTATATAAATATTTGAAGCATTCCATAGTTAACCTTTTACTAAATATATGTGCATAATAGGCATAGACGTAACACTGATAAACTGGAGATTGTTGCTTACACTAACTATAAATTTAGGATTAAGTTTTCAATTAACAGTGTTTTTGGCTTTAATGTTTTTATATGTTGTTTCAAAATATTGGTCATGTCCAGTTTTCATTTAAAGCCATTAACCAGTGCCTCTAAGGAGTGGTATTAGCTTTATTGCCTGTTATAAATTTGTACTGAATTTTGTAAAGTCACCCACTAACTATGTTTTGTTTCATGGTGTTCTCTTTCTAGATTAATGGCTATTAATCTTGGTTATGTATCCATATCTTAATGCTCAAAACTGTATTTGTACTGATTATTAGATGGGAACTAACACTAAATACAGAAACAACTTATGCATTTCTATGACTACATGCATGTATCTAGCTTCACTAATGTATCTACATGGTATCTAGCTTCACTAACCAAGATTTTATTTTCGCATTTTGTGTCCAGTCATGTGAACGGAAGAGCAGTTGTGGTCAAAGTGGAAGAGGGAAGCGTGGCTGCTGAGGATGTAAGCCATCTTCATTGTTCACTGTTTGTTGCTGCCTCTCTTGGATCCTCATTATTTTTCTGTGTGGTTGTTCAGCTTGTATACATTGCACTTCAAATGCATACATGTTATCTTGGTATATACTGTAGCTTTTATTGGAATCAATTATCTTGAGAATAAGAAACATAGTCCTTCAAAGTGTGCATGACAAATATGGAGCAAAAGATTTGAAGTTAAGCTTACTAAGGAGGATGTCAGCTGTACAAGAAATATTGGGATTTTTAATGATATTGTAGTTAGTGATGTTAAATCATGACACAAGACTAGTCTGTAAATGAATATATGGTAATCTGGCACTCATCATTCAGTAATAGGGGAATGTGACCTTTCAATATGCATATGGAGTGTTGTTTACACTTGTGTAATTGAAGTGAGATTACAATGGACCCCTGAGTTTCGTGATTAATCCGTTCCAGAGTCTGCTGAATGACTAAATTGCTGAATGGCAAAACCATTTTCCCCATGAGAAATAATGGAAATAAAATTAATCCGTTCTAGACACATAAAAATATTTAATTTTTTTTTTTTTTTCAAATTAAATAAAGATTTACATACAAAAAACAATGAGAAATCAAGTACATACATATATTAAATAATAATAACATTATACACTTACCTTTACTGAAGACTTCTGGATGGATGGAAGATGGGAGGAGGGGATAGGAGAAAGGTGTACACTATTGTTTGGAAGGGGAATCCCCTTCCATAAAGACTTCAGATACCAAGTCCTTATCTGGAGTTACTTCCCTTCTTTGTTTTTTAATGACACTGGGAACAACTTGAGAGTCACTGGACCCCTGTTGCACAAAATATCTGTCCTGAGAGCTCTGTTTCTGGCATTTCTTTAAGATTTGAAGTGGGACACAACACTGTCATTGTACATGTTGCCAACATGGCCTGCAACAGCTTCGTCAGGGTGAAGTTCATCCATAAATAATTGCACTTCAGCCCACTTTGCACGAATGTCCTTAATCTTTGAAGAAGGCACCTTCCTCCATCTCTCTTCCTCCTCCTCTGCAGCAATTTCCTGAGCTGTGGTCTCTTGCTGTTGCAGATGAAGCTCTTGCAGCTCTGCGCTGGTTAGCTCTTCATCATGGTTCTCCACCAACTCTTCCACATCCTCAAAACTCACATCCAACCCCCATGGAATTCCCCAGTGACACAATACTTTCCACAACTGGCATAGGCTCCTTAGGGTCAGCCCCAAACCCTTTAAAATCTCTCTTGTACACATTGTGGCCACAATTTTCTCCAAGCAAAATTCAAAGTTCTGCAAGTCACTCCCTCCCAAGCCTTTCCTATAAGGTTTATGCAAGTGACAATATTGAAGTGATCTTTCCAGAACTCTCTAAGGGTCAATTCAATGTCTGAGGTCACTTCACAGCACTTTTGAAACACTGCTTTGGTGTACAGTTTTTTGAAGTTTGAAATGACCTGCTGGTCCATGGGCTGGAGGACAGGAGTTGTATTAAGGGGCAAGAACTTCACCGTGATGAAACTAAACTCCTCCACCATTTGCTCTTCCAAGTCTTGAGGATGAGCAGGAGCATTGTCCATTACCAGGAGGCACTTAAGTGGCAATTTATTTTCCAGGAGGTATTTCTTTACACTGGGGCCAAACACTTCATTAAACCAGTCAAGGAAAATTTCCCTTGTGACCCATGCCTTACTGTTAGCCTTCCACATCACACACACATTACTCTTAGCAACACTGTTTTTCTTGAACACACTGGGATTTTCAGAGTGTTACACCAGTAAAGGCTTCATTTTGCAATCTCCACTAGCATTACTACAAAACATGAGAGTTAGCCTGTCTTTCATAAGCTTGTGTCCTGGGAGTGCCTTTTCCTCCTGCATAATGTAGGTCTTCCTTACCATTTTCTTCCAGAAGAGGCCTGTTTCATCACAATTGAACACTTGTTGGGGTTTGAATTCTTCACTGTCTACATACTCCTTAACCCTTTCAGGGTCAGCAGTCCCTCTCCTAAACTTGTTCTCAGGGTTGGAAATTTGGGGGAAAAAAAAAATTATTTTTTCCTGTGAAATGATAGAGAATCTTTTCCCGATCATAATGACACCAAAAGTATGAAATTTGATGGAAAACTTATGGAATTATGCTCTCGTGAAGTTAGAAGTCTCGACGGTGTTTATGCATTGGCGATTTTGCCCACTTTGAGCCCTATTTTCGGCCAATTCCAATGTACCAGTCAGCAAAAATCATAACTATTTTGCTAGAACTCCATTTTTTCTATCGAATGAGTACAAGAAACCACCCATTTACCGATTTCAACTATCCAGTAAAGTGGTCTGAAATTGGCAATTTTGCCAATTTCACACAAATTTCAGGATGCCAATTTCCAAATAGGGTTCAGAATAAACAAGACAGACATTCCTGGCACTAAAATAACATTTCCTCTGTTCATTAGTCGTGTTTCAAAACGCCACCCCACTTCTGCGGTCCCATCTTCTGCAGCTTCCTCTGCAGTTGCCAGTCCCATAGTCACTCCTGTATCTAATTCTTTTGCTGTCCTGGGCTCAGACATCCCTGACGTCTCAGACGTCTCCAGGCCTCTGTTACATTTCTTTTGCTTTCCACTTTGAATTCTTATTCTCACAAAAAATAGAAGATTTACGTACTGTTATGCAGACTACTGCATTAGTGTAGAAATGGTATAAATAACATCAGTGCACATGTATTGGACGCATGGCTTGATTTATTTACTTTTGAACTTTGGCAAAAATCGAACACTTCTGCTAATTTGAGTTCAATTTCAAGGTACTTTTCATTGTGAAACCAATAAAAATCATCTCAATTTCTGTAATATGTCTTCCATTCTATAAAATGAGACCAGGAAAACTAGAATACATCCATAAATAGCATACGAAAATACACTGCAAAGTCGCTGTTTTAAAACAAAAACAGTTGGATTTTTTTTCCTCATTATGCACTGTGTGCTGCAGGATTTGTTTTATACTGTGCACACTGACCACAGAGACCCATTTTTTCATATGTAGGCCTACCAGCTTTCTCTCGCTAGATTTGAAGGCGCTAGAATTTATGCGTACTAGTACGGCACCAACCCTGGCGTGCAAGCTGTACTAGTACGGCACCAACCCTGAAAGGGTTAAACTCCTGTACAAACTTCTCAGCTGTTTTTTTGTCAGAACTAGCAGCTTCATCATGCCTTATCACACTGTGTATGCTACTACGCTTCTTAAATCTCTCAAACCAACCTTTGCTGGCCTTAAAATCATAAGCATCACCACTCATTGCAGGCATTTTCTTGACAAGATTGTCATGCAACTGCTTTGTCTTTTCACATATTATTGACTGCATAATACACCTACCATCCGACTTACGACCTGCTCGACTTACGACCACTCGACTTACGACCACTCGACTTATGACCGTGTTTTTTTTTGCCAAATTTCTGGGAAATAAACAACTGTTTGTGTTGTACACAGTGTTTTTCCTAAACCTTACAGTATAAAATACAGTAACAGCATAAAAAGTAAAGTAAAACATGAAATACCAAAATAAAACAATAAAATAAAGTAATTACAAAAATGTGATGTTGATATTCAGTAGTAAAGTTTGACTTACGTCCATTTCGACTTAAGACCGGTTTTTTGGAACCAAACTCGGTCGTAAGTCGGATAGTAGGTGCACTATCTCCTGCTAACTGTTTTTGGGTAATCTACACCAACAATAACCTTTCCACTTCTTTGAGGGTTTGCAATCTCTTTTTTGTCAGCATATCTACCCCTTTTGCAACAACAGCACACTTTATTTCATTTCCCTTCGCCACGATCGAAGTGATGGTTGAATGGGTTTGCCATACATCCTGGCAAGTTCTGTAACATGCACTCCGCTCTCATATTTTTTAATGATTTCTTTCTTGAATTTGATCATGTTCCTCACTTTCTTTACCAAACGGCTGGCACTAGCTTTCCTTGGGCCCATGGTGACTTATTTAGCAGTTGCAAGCACAAAAAACAATGGATTATTATGAAATGTATTGTATGAACCCGCAGGGTGATGGTCATGCGCTGGTAAACAATGGCACACCTGAGTGTGAATAGTGTGGGAGACTGGCTTTGCATGCACGGTGATGGGCGGACGCATACCGGATGGTCACCAAATCACAAGTCCAATCATGAACGCGAAGCTAAATTTTGCCGAAAAAACTTGCCGAAAGTCGGATTTCACGAAAGTAGCGGCTGCCGAACAGTGGGGGTCCACTGTACAGTGGACTTCCGAGTTTCGTGATTAATCCGTTCCATAGAGCCCGCCGAAGGTCGAAATTCACGAAACTCGAAATCATTTTCCCCATATGAAATAATGGAAATAAAATTAATCCGTTCCAGACACCCAAAAATATTAAAATAAAATATTTTTTTTTCAAATTAAATGAAGATTTACATAATGAAAACAATCAGAAATCAAGTACATGCATTTAAAAAAATAATAATAACATTACACTTACCTTTACTGAAGACTTCTGCGTGTATGGAAGACGGGAGGAGGGGATAGGAGGAAGGTGTACACTATTTTTTGGAAGGAGAATCTCCTTCCATTAGGACTTCAGGTATGAAGTCCATATCTGGGGTTACTTCCCTTCTTCTTTTAATGCCACTGGGACCAGCTCGAGAGTCACTGGACCCCTGTCGCACAACATATCTGTCCAGAGAGGTCTGTTTCTGGTGTTTCTTTAAGATTTCCCTGAAGTGGGACACAACACTGTCATTATACATGTTGCCAATACGGCCTGCAACAGCTTTGTTAGGGTGAAGTTCATCCATAAATGTTTGCACTTCAGTCCGCTTTCCACAAATGTCCTTAATCTTTGAAGAAGGCACCTTCCTCCATCTCTCTTCCTCCTCCTCTGCAGCAGTTTCCTGAGCTGTGATCTGTTGCTGTTGCAGATGAAGCACTTGCAGCTCTTCAGTGGTTAGCTCTT